TCGCTGCCATCTTCTGAGACGGCTGGGATGATTTACAGGAGTAGGGAGGAAGAACAGGGTTATTCCCAATTCGAACAGAAAAATGGAGAAGAGAGAAGGTCCAAGGTCGGGATTTGGAGGAGAGGGGTAGGGCTTCGGGTGGGGCAAGGGTAGGTGTCCTTTCTCTTAGGGTGGTTGGGTTTTGGGTCAATTCAATAACTAAACAGAACCAACCCGATTTGGTTTACAATGGACTAAAATGAAAGAAAAACTAATTCTATGAGTTGATCTGTAATTTTATTTAATATAAATTCCGAAAAAATAAATCATTTAATCAAATTTAATCTCAGCCGTCGAGATCACACGTACGGTCAAGATCACCCAAGGTACGCCATACCCCGAAATTTACCCGGGGTACGATAGAAGCCACCATATATGTGTATATATATAGGGCGGCCAGAGAGGGTCGGGTGACCCTCCATCCAAATTTCACCATCAGCCGCAAAATTTCCAAAACCCAAAATTCCCCTCCTCCTTATTTTTCTGGCGCAGCAGAAGCGAAGGGAGAGCAGCAGCATAGCGGCCTGCTCGTGTCCCAACCGCCACCGTCCCTGCTCCTCATCGCGGGCGGGAATAAAAGAAGAAGGAGCCGCCGAATCCTGTTCCCGACCCCGGCCCCGATCTCATCCCTTTCGTGTTTCTAGGTAAGGATCGCGAACCCCTTCGCGATTTCAAAACTCGATTCATCGATAGTCTAATCCGAAGCTCGTATTTTATTAGCGGTGACGTTTGAGGGTTCGATCAACGAGGAGAGCAACGTCCCGTGTCATCCAACCTAGGCCTAGGCATGTTCTAGAAGTAAGGGAACTCGATCCCTTTTAGTTAGGTCGATTAATTTGGGGAATTTTCGCGAGGGTGCAATTCTGTGTTTTTAGCAACAGACGTTACAGGCTTTTAGTGACAGATTTTGGGTAGTCACTAAAGCTGTTGGGAATTTCCAAAAACGTATTTTAGATGTTTTAAATTGTGTCGAGCCTCTATGGGTGTTTGTTCCAGGGTTTAACAATTTTATCATTTGTAGGAGATGACTGTAATTTAATTTGGGAATTTTTGAATATGTATTGCTATTTTTAGAAATTGGTCGAATGTTAATTTTAATTAAATTAAAATCTTGTCGAGGGGTTTTTAAGGGTTTGATAATTTTCTAGGGTATAAACCGCAATTTTAAAAAGGTTCTCGTTAGGTGAAAAATTCGTCAAAGAAAAAAATAATTAGGAAAAATGGTCGGTTTTGAAGGGAGTATTTCTAGAAAAATTTTAAAGGGGGTTAAGGGACCTTTGGAACGAGACACGAGGACTAGATTTTGAGGAGAGGATGTTCTAGTGATTCAAAAGGAGTTTTAAATCGAGAAAAGTTGTCTTAGAATATGAATTTTTTATTACTAGGTTTCCTGGGATAATCCGGCTAAGGAGGGAAAGAAGGTGAGAAAGTTAGTCGTCGATCAAACGTTGTAGTCTCTCGTGATGAAGAGGTGCACGCCGATTAGTAGGAGAGGAAGAGCCGTGTCTAGCGGAGGCGGGAGGAAGGCCGAGAACTCGGCAACGTCGATCGCGACTGGCGGGGGTAAAGCGATGGAGAGGCCCCGACCCTATCCTCCTAGACGACTCGGGGTGTCAGGAGTTCGAAGTTGGCCGCTGAATTGTGGCCGAAGGAGGGACTTTGAAGAGAGTGGCGGTGGAACTCCAATGGTGAGGGTCGTCGAAGAGGAAGACGATGAACCGATAGTGAAGGAGTCAAAGGAGGAAAAACACCTGGGCTTGAGCGTGAGAATGCAGGCGTTGATGCGACTTAAGAGGTGAATGTAAAGGGGGTAAAATCTCCGTCGAGGTCTTTTAGTTTATGTCTTTTAATTCAATTATGTTTGTTGTTTTCAAGTAAACGCGATTATGTGTGTGAGGCATCCCACCGCCTACTTAAGGTGGAGGCACGCGTTGTGCTATGAATGTGAATGTGTGTGGTTGTTGGTAAGATGAACCCCCGGGCGATTGGGCCACTACTGGACGCAGTCGATGGTCCGATCATTGTTGGACGGCGAGACGTAACGCATCAGTTGATCGTGTATGTTGGGGTCGCTACTGGACGGCGAGACATAACGCAGTAGTTGACCGGGCATGGACTGGACGGCAAGACGTAACGCTGTGCCATTGCCGAGTTTGGGTATGCACCGGACAACGAGACGTAACACGGTTGGCATACTAGGGTAGGACACCGGACGGCGAGACATAACGCGGTGGTCCTAGTGTTTTGTGTTTGAGTTAAGGATAGAAGTCGAGAACTTCTATGAGTTAATGTTGAAATAAGTTATTGAGGATGAAAGCGAGAACGACTTTTGTCTAAGTCAAGAACCCGAATAATGTGTTTTTGTTAGGATGATTATTTAGGAGACGAAAGCGAGAATGGCTTTCGTGCTAGGAAGGAAACTCTAATAACGTGTTAGTAGAAAGTTTGCTTAGGGCAAAGACCTTAGGAAGTAACGACGAGAAGAGGCAAAGCAAGGCGAGTGGCTGCACCAGCATTGATGAGAAGTCAAGGAACTCGTGAAGAGTCAGAGCTAGAATAGTTTATTTTCTTTGTTACATGGTTAGGAGTGTAAACTGGCGATTCTGAGTTCATTCATTTTAAGTACTGGGATTGTCATTTGCCCAAGTGTTCAGGCTTTTTGTTTGAAATTCTTAAACATTGTAGGTTTATTTATTTTAAAAAAAAGGTGTTTGGGTTGCTCCGGAGTAACCGGTTTTTGGTTTGAGTTATGGTTTGGTATTCGAGCGAGTCATACGACATATCTGGGATTTGCTAATTAAACATGGTTCTTTTTGGTGGCCTGGATTTAGGAATACAGGCTGCGTAAAGCTGATTTTTGGTCTTTGGATAGCAAAACAGGTCATGGTTATGGCAGAAAATTCTTAAGATGAGGGCTAAAGTTCAGGGATCTCTTGAAGTAGCAGATGAGTTTGGTTATTGGAAAGGTCAGGCTCAACTGAAGTTCTACTTGAAACTTTTTTGGGAGGAATTCATACCAAGAGAGGAAATGGTTACTTGGCATAAGCTGGTTTGGAAAGCCCATGCCATTCCATGTAATCAATTTATCAGTTGGCAAATTATATATCAGCCCAGTTTTGCTTGTGTCTATTACAATTGTGCTTTAGAAACATTTAACCATTTTTTCTCTGAATGTGCTAGGTTCAAAGAATTGTTTATGGCTCTGTTCTCTATGTTTTCCAGAAGAGTCCCTTCGGATGTTTGGGAAACTGAATTGCAGTGGGCGATGACTGACTTCTCTGGCTCGGCTTGCTCTTCCCAAGTGGGTAGACTGCTGTGGCAGATTCTCATCGTGGCCTCCGATACCAATTCATCGCATCTCTATCGACGGAATTGTTAGGTTAGCGACCAAACTGGCTTTCTATCTTGTGTCGAAATTGCAGCGAGAAACAGAGGCACCCGATATGTGTTCGTGACTAGGAACCCCCAATAATATCAATCTGAGTCATCGTCTAGAACACGATAACCACCAAATCTTCAAAACCAGAACCCCCAATTCTTCTAACCTAGAGCACCGCACAATCAAAATTTAACCTTGCATGTCGAAAGAATCGTGTGAAAATATCATACATCCAAAGCACTAGAAAAGGAATCGCCAGATGAAACTCGGCCAACAAAGCTTGTCCAGATGAAACCACCCATCTCTGTCGCCAGAGAAGGAATCGTTGTCGCATGTTACGAGAATCAAACCATCATAACTATTGGGACTCGATCTGGGCTTGGTTATACACAACATCGCAAGACTCGCTTCTGTTTGCCGTCGCAACCTTGGCTTGAGTATACTAAATCTGACCTGCACAAAAAAGGAGGTCGTTGCTAGCAGAATAACTGATTTCCGTGGCGTTGATTTTGCTCTCTAATAACCATGGATGGATTCAAAGGAAAGAAGAAAGGCAGGAGAGAGGAGAGAGGAGAGAGGAGAGGGAAAATAGGGGTCAGAATATTTCTAAACGCGTTATTGTGAAATAACACCCCTACATGTGTTATTTCAAATAACGTGAAAACGCGTTAATCTCAAATACCGCAAGCCCAATTAACTCAATTCAATTTTTGGTTGCCAAACGGGTTATTTCGGCTCAAATAACCCATCACAATACTACATCCAAACGATCCCTGAAGTTATTTGTGCAATGAGTTATTTCGAAATAACTCATTTTACAACTTTCTTTCGCCAAATACCATACGCCAAATACCAGACTTGCATGGTTATACGAAACGAGATACTTTAATCCAATTACTACTGAAATCATACTAAAATACCAAATAAACAATTATGATTAGCTAGTGTACTTTGCCAATTATGATTAATTGCATAACAAGTTTGCAAGTCATACAAATTGATTCAACATTTTGACTAGTTATTTTATGAAGTATATAGACGAGGTAGAAAGAAATTGGTTAAAAATTGAGAAAAATATTTTGAATTAGTGTAATAAAATGTGCAAGTTGGCAACGGGTAAGGAGTAAGTTACTCGATGCGCTGACCCGAACAACCCGCAACCTGATCCGCCTGACCCAAAACCTGATGAACCCGCAACCCGATGAATTCAAAATCCGACTAACCCACAACCCGATTGACAGTAGCGAACCCAGGATTGTTGAAGAGGGGCGTCGCCTAATGAAGGAGTATCGACTATAGTTATTAAAACAGTGTCGGAAATCTCGTATTAAAAGTTTTTGTACCAAAAAAATATAAGTTCTTCACAAAATTTTCGGGCAAAGAGGTGTCAGACGACACCCCTTAGCAACACATAGGTCCGCCCATACCGATTGAACCCAGCCCGAACCCGCCCAATTGACACCTATATTCCCGACAAAGGTCACGACGGTGTTCCGATTGGCGGAGAACTACTAATCATTTACCATTTAGGCATCGTTGTTTCGACCCTTTACAAATGGCTTCACAAAATCTGCAGTGGCTTCACAAAATCTGCCCCATCGTCCCTCCATTCTCTCCCACTCTCCGAAAACATCTCTGAGAAAGGTAAAAGGAAAAACGCCCAAATTTCCCGAACCCTAAAATTTACAAAATCATCAGAAATCCATCGCATAATTTCAATTAGCCACCCATACTCCAATTCCCCCTTCGCACTTCCGACCTCCTCCCCCGCCGCCGCCCTACAAATCTGTCCTCGACGTTGACCTCCCCCGCCGCCTTCGTTTCCGTTCACTTGCCGGTTCGTTTCGCTCTTCCGTTTCCCTGAACAAAATCGACGCTCTACCATTAATTCGTTTTCCTTGCTTTTTTGTTCCTGTCAATATTCTTTTTGTCACTCCTCTATAACTAAGAAAAAAGAATGGCGAGACAATCCCGATTTTGGGTTTTCTCCGCCGGATTGCATCTAGGGTTTCTCCACTGAATCAATTTCCTTGCAAGTCAAATGGACTGATTAATGATGCGTCTAGTCTTTCCCAGCCATGCCGAAGCTGATTGTGATATGTCAGTCGGGAGGTAAGTTTGTCGCAGCGGGGAACGGCGTCCTGTCCTACTCCGGCGGAGAAGCGCACGCGTTGAGCATCAGCCGGGAGAGCAAGTTCGATGAATTGAAGGGAGAGATGGCCGAGATGTGGAAGTACGATCCTAACTCCATCATCGTCAAGTACTTCGTCCCAAACAACAACCGGACGCTTATCACCGTCTCCTCCGACAAGGACTTGCAGCGCCTGCTCGATTTCCATGAGGATTCCGGCACGGTCGACGTCTACGTCCTTACCAATGCAGAAGCCGCCGCCAATGAGACTGCTCTTACCACAACGTCCACAGGGTAACTGTGTTAACCAGTCTCTTCCGTCTCCATTGTTTTATTATTATATCAACCAAGTGCATTATTGCCTGCAATTTGGTGTTTACTTTCCTTCTGATTTCAACTGCGTTTCTCTGGGGTGTTAAAAGTAAGTCTGCCAAGGCAACTGCGTCCAGATCTCGAGCTGCAGCTGCAAGCCGCAGGAGAGCCAGGTGAAGATTGATATACAGTTTGTGGTTGATGACCTGACAAACGTTCTCTCAGCTTTATGTTGTTTCTACTGACTGCATTGGCTGGTTAATTTTATATATGAACAGGGAGGAAGCAGCACTAGGCAGAGAGCAAGAGCAGCAGGTCGCTACCGCAGAGCTCGAGCAAGCACAAGTGATGAACGGAGGAGAGGCCGCAACCTTGACTGCAGCACCTGGTAGCCCGCTGAACATCACTCCGGTAGCAAGCATCATCACCGACGGTACCCCAGCCCCACCACGGCAGATGAGGACTAGCACGCCCTGTGCTCTCGACGTGATCGGAGAGCAGAAGCTTCAGAAAGTGTGGGAGACCTGCGTCACTGGACTCCACCAGCAGTTCAACAATGTTGGTGAAGTACGTGAAGCTTTTCGCCGTTACTCCCTCGCTCAAGGGTTCACCATCAAGTTCAAGCACAATGATTCCATGCGAGTGAGCGCAAAGTGCAAGGCCGAAGGTTGCACGTGGAGGATTTACGCCTCCAAACTGTCCACCACTCAGTTCTTCCGAACCAAGAAGTTCATCGACACCCACACCTGTGGTGCTGGCACTGCCTCCGCAGCACCTCCTCATGCATCCAGAAAACTGGTCGCAACCATTGTAAAAGAGAAGCTGCTCAGCACTCCCAACTTCAAACCTAAAGAAATCGCCAAAGAGATACAGGAGGAATTTGGGATTGAGCTGAGATATTCCCAGGCTTGGCGAGGAATGGAAGCTGCAAGGCAGGAGCTACAAGGCTCTTACAAAGAATCATATAATCTGCTCCCATGGCTGCGCGAGAAGCTGATGGAGACCAATCCAGGTAGCGTCGTTTCCCTCAATACCTCCGACGACTCAACATTCCGCCGCTTCTTTGTCTCCATGCACTCTTCCATATTTGGGTTCGAGAATGGCTGCCGTCCTCTTATTTTCCTGGACGAGATGTCGGTGAGGTCAAAGTACCAATCGGAGCTACTCACCGCAACAGCAATCGATGGGAATGATGGGATTTTCCCGGTGGCATTTGCCGTGGTGGACACCATTAACGAGGAGAACTGGCACTGGTTTCTCGAGCAGCTCAAGTCTTCTCTTTCCATGTCACAGTCTATCACCTTTGTCTCGGATCGACAGATAGGTTTGAGACAATCAATCGCCATGCTTTTCCAAAACTCCTACCATGGCTTCTGCGTCCAACGGCTTTCGGACGAGTTGCTGAAGGATCTCAGAGGGCCGTACACTCAAGAAGTCGTCGATGTCCTTGTTGCTCACATGTATGATGCTGCTAGGGCATCTACTCGGGAAGGTTTTATGAAATCCATGGACAGTATCAAGAGCATTTCCCCGGAAGCTTGGGAATGGATACTGCAGAGCGAGCCGGAACACTGGGCCAACCACATCTTTGTGGGTTCACGCTACAACCATATCTCGTCAGGAGTCGCGGAGTCGTTCTACAGCTGGGTTCCTGAGATTCAAATGCCCATCGTCCAGTTCGTGGACACGATTCGGCAGAAGATTATGGAGCTTATCTACACCAGAAAGGTGGAATCGGAGCAGTGGGTTTCTCGAGCGACTCCAATCTTGGAAGAGAAGCTCCAGAAGGAAATAATGAAGGCGCAGTCGCTGCAGGTGTTTGCGTCCCAGACGGCAGAGAACACCTTCGACGTGAGGGATTACTTTGGTTCGGTCAACCACACGGTCAATGTGGAGTTGTGGAGTTGTTCTTGTAGGGATTGGAGACACAATGGATACCCGTGCTCGCATGCCGTGGCTGTGCTTCAGGGGATCGGAAGGGATCCGTATGACTACTGTGCCAAGTACTACTCGACGGAAGCTTTTCGGCTGACGTATAGGGAACCCATCAACCCGGTTGCCACGACGAATCGTCCAGTGCACGGAGAAGGGTTGGTTTCGGTACTAGTGCAGCCACCAGCTCTGCGTAAATTGTCGGGACCGCCGAAGCAGCGGAGGATTAGGAATAAAGGCGTGATCAAACGTCCATTGCACTGCAGCAAGTGCAAAGGAGCAGGGCACAACAGAGCTACTTGCCATGTTTTCTCCTAGGCATGATGTAGTGTTATAGGTTGACAATCAGATCTCGTCTTTTTTATTTTAATTAGCCTAATTTTATGATGATCCTAGGAGTTAGTGGAGTTGGAGCTTGCCTGAAAATGCTTTGCGGGGTGAGATGCGCTTAAAATGTTCTACTAGTTAGTTTTTTTCCAGAGAGATGTCAAGTAAACAATATTAGGACGGAAAGAACATTCCCAAATTTCTTACAAACGACTCTTTAACTTCAAATAAATAAATAAATAAATGAAATAGGCATGATTTAAGTGTCACTCTATATGTGCAACCTAATTTGCTGTATGACAAGGCAAAAAGATATGTGGTTGAGCAAAGGCAGAAGGAGGGAGAGGGAATGAAAAGACATGTGGCTGAGTAAGCTGGAAATCACTATTATTATAATTACTAGCAATTTGCCCCGTCGAATTGGCCGAGTGTGCGTATTTCATATTATATCGCTAAATGTTATAATCGGCCTAATTTTATAATAGAGAGCATATAAATGCCTTTTTGTTGTAAAGCCTTAATAACAAACCAACCACATTGTACATCCCCCCTTCAATCTTCTCTGCGTCTGTCGTCTGCTCCGCCCTTTCCGAATGTAGTCCACTGTTAGGCAGGGAGAGGGGACTAATGTCAGTCTACTGTCAAGTCGAGGGATACCTAAGCCAGTATGTTATCGGGCGGTGTAGGAAGCCAGTTAGGGATGGCAATGGGCCGGGTTGGGTCGGGTTTTGCCAAATCCAAATCCAAACTCATGGGTTTATCTTTGAAAAAAACCCGGGGTAAAACCCACTGGGTTTGAAAAACTCAAACCCAACCCAACCCGTTGGGTATCCGCGGGTTCATGGGTACCCACGGATTTTGTCGTAAAAAATTTACAATTACAAGTTCTTATCAAAATTAAAGTCAAATATCAATCTCTCAATACAAATTATCCATATATAAAACATCATTCTAGAAAATTCAAGAAAATTGAAGCAAATCACAAATTGTCCATAAATAACATGTTTAATTGAAAGTTTCTTCATTTCAATTAAGTTTCTTTACTCTCCACTCCGTAACATCAACTTCATTCTACACAATTAAAAAGAAAAAATTAGACATGTCTCCACAAACATAAATAAGATTAGTTGTTTAGAATATTAAATATACCGAAAAAATTAATTATATGGGTGGACGGGTACCCACGGGCCGGGTTTACCTAAACCCAAACCCAATCCAACCCGGTGAATAGTGAACGGGTTTAAACCCAAACCCGGCCCAAAACCCGTCAACACGGATTTTACCCGCGTTGACCGGGTTGGGTCTGGTGGGTACCCGTGAGTTCGGATTTTGTTGCCATCCCTAAAGCCAGTTAGGGATGCTTGCTTCGTGAATTTGAAAAATGAAGGTTTTCGTATAACTTGGATTTTGAAAACCAATGGATATATGAGGGTTTTGGATTCATTATGGATTTGATAAACACCAATGTTTGTTTGATGGATTTCATGATGTATTTTGTTAATTAAATTTGTATGTATGAGGTGAAATTTACCTTTATTGCCCTCAATGATATAAGAAAAGAAAACAAATATGAAGGGTAGGTTGTTAAAAAATGATGGAATTCAAAGTCCAAAATCAATTTCCACCTAAAGAGATGAGTTTTTCAAGTTCGTGGGCCCCACAAATTTGGACACTCAAAGTCCATGGGTCCCACTGATTTGTTACTTCTAAATACTTGAAGAAAACAATGGATTTTGTACAAAGTTATTTTTGTACAAAGTTATCATGGATCCAAATCCATCACCAAATCCATCAAGCAAACAACCCCTTATTGGGTAAGTGTATCCAATTGTCATGACTGATATTGGACCCAAATGAACTCATATTCACTCTTAATAATTTTGGTTTTGGGTTGAGTTTGAATTTTGGTTTATTTTGTTATTGTATAAGTTTGGCCAATTTGGTTATGATATTGTATTCCATAATTAATAAAAAATAGACAATTTGGTTCGATAATTACTATGATAACCATTTGAACGTTTCTAATTAAGAAGGAGAAGATGGGAAGGAAAAGTGTGAGAAGACGCGAGTTGATAATTTCTTGAATATGGACTTATATAGTATAAGCGCAATGAAGTTGGATGGCAGGAGTAGAATATTCAAATTAGGGATACATGGATTCAGGATAAGAATATAGTAAGGGAAACATTGATGTTGTATTATATAAAGCCTCCTCCCGGCCAAATTAGCAAGTGGAAGATTGAGCCCTCTTCCCTTAAACACAATGTTTTAAAGCCGTATCTACTATCTGGTTAGACCGAAAATATCAAGTACCAGACCCCAATTTGTAAGCGTTTCAAATAGTATAAAGTGGTTGAACAACACTTTTATTACAAATTACCCTACTACTGATTTTCGATACAACCTCCGGTATAGTTCCCAATTTTTGCTTAAACAAAGAGACAATATAACTGCACAACACAAAATGGTAAATAATTTTTTTTTTTATAGATATGAGTGATATATTTTTAATTCATTATAAGATTCTACTTGAGAAATTTGAACCAAACCTTGAGGTTGTAGTCTTCTAATATAAGAGTTATAAGGTTATACTCATTATATAATATACGTTGGGCACATATTATATAATATTCATATTGCTGGTCTCGGCTTTAGAAATTAGCAAACTAGGTAATTTTTTAGAAAAAGGTCAAATACGTACTCTTTTAGTTCCCCGGTTATTGTTGAACAGGCTTATTAACCGGCCCATGAAAAATCAGCAAATTGGGTTGACTCGCTCTGACTATCACAATAAAATCCCACCTAAGGCCCAAGTATAAATCTTAGATGGGTGCAATCTAGAGTGACAGTAGGAGTGTGTCAAGTTTTTGGCGCCGTTGCCGGGGACGGCTAGGTTGTTGAAGAAAAGTGATTTCTGTTACTTTAGCATTTTCATTTTTGCATTGAGTGTTTGTTCTTTCCCACTTGTGCCTTCACGGGTTTGCATTGCTTGATTGTGTGCAGATAGTGCATGACCCGTAGCCAGTCGGGAGGTTTACTGCCGTTGGATCCAGAGATTGAATGCACCTGCAACCAACTTCGGAGACAACAGCGAGCTAGACTGGCTACGGTGGAGCACAGAGACGGCCAATTGAGCAGCGAATCCGAGGACGAGTACGAGATGGAAGGCGAAGACAACCCACAACCGGGGAATGCTCGACAGGCTCCCCCGGTGAATCAGCATCCACCACCACCGCCGGGTCCCACCTTGGAGTACTACTACACTCCACGGATTGCTGACATCCGCCCGGTCATCCTCTATCCGCCCATCCCAGCGAACAACCTCGAGATCAAGCCATGCTGGATTCAACTCATTACATCATCTATCCAGTTCCATGGTTTGAAGGGTGAGGAGGCCCGGGCACATCTTTCCCGTTTTCTGCAGCTGACGAACGGGTTCAAGCTGAATGGTGTTCCGGATGACGCAATCCGCCTTCACCTCTTCCCCCATTCTCTGGCGGGGAATGCTAAGAGGTGGTTGGAGACCCAGCCCCCATTGTCCATCACTTCTTGGGACGATCTGGCAGACAAGTTCGTGCACAGGTACTATCCGGCATCGAAGACCACAGAGATTCAGCGGGAGATCACTCACTTCCGCCAAGAGCCAGATGAGTCACTTTGTGATGCATGGGAGCGGTACATGGGATATTTCTGGCAGTGTCCCCATCATGGCTTCAGTGATGCTTTCACAGTGGGGAACTTCTACAGTGCCCTCCCCCAGACAGCCAGAGGGTGATCGAGTCTTTATGCCCAAGAGGGGATATTCTCACTAAGACTCCACCCGAGCTGAACCAAATGATCAGTACCTTGGCTGCCCGCGATCACTCCTGGGGGCAGAGCAACAGAGGCAGACATTCCCGGGACCATGGTCTGCACGCTATAGAGGCCAGGTCCGGGTTGGAGCAGCAGGTGGCTGAGTTGGTGCAGACATTGAAGCAGCCCAACAATCTCCTTCCGGGCCGAGGTGTGGCTACGCCTCCAGTAGCTCAGTGTCAGTGGTGTGAGAGCCCGAACCACCTGGTGGAGGATTGTCAGTCTCTGAGGGAGTCCTCTACTCCCCAAGAGCAGGTGGACTTCATCGCCAATGCTCGGCGCCTGGACCCATACAGCAATACCTACAATGAGGGATAGCGCTAGCATCCCAACTTCGCCTGGAGCAGCAACAACACCAAACCACCTGGTTTCCCAGCACCAGCGGGTGGTTTTCAGCAGAGGCAGCCCTTCCAGGCTAGGCAGGGGCCACCACCACAGCAGCAGCCCTACCAGCCTAGGCAGGGGCAGCCATTCCAGCAGCCCCGGCGCCAGTATGACCAGCCTCCAGCAGCTGCAGCTCTAGATAATCAAATGGCTGATCTGAAGAATATTTTGCAGGCATTCATGACCACCAGCCAGGCGAATTTCACGAGGATGGATCAGAACATAGCCTCACTGGAGGCAGGCTAGAGAAACCAAGGTGCCATTCTGCAGGATCTGCAGAATCAGATTGGGAGCTTAGCTCGCCAGAACACTACCAGGGAACCGAGGACTCTGCCTGCCACCACTGTTCCCAACCCTCGTGACCCTCTCCAGCAGCTAGACGCCATCACCACCAGGAGTGGCAAGACCATATCTGCTGCTCCTGCCCAGCCCGGGCGAGACGACCCACTACCTGCTTCAACACCTCCAGCTGATACTGCAAAAGTGGGGGAAGTCAGTAAAGCACCTGCTCCCAAGCCGCAGCCTATGGTTAAGGAGCATACACCCCAGCTGCCCTTCCCCACTCGACTTCATAAAGACAAGCTGGAGACAGAGTTTGCCAAGTTCATGGCAATGTTGAAGCAGGTCAACATCAGCATGCCGTTCGTGGAGGCACTGTCGAAGATGCCCAAGTATGCCAAGTTCATGAAAGACCTCCTCACCAACAAGAAGAAACTTGGGGATCTTTTGACAGTGATGCTCAGCGAGGAGTGTTCTGCTATCCTGCAGAACAAGCTGCCCGAGAAGCGCAAGGACCCAGGGAGTTTCACTATCCCTCTTGTTATTGGCAGCATGCATGTAGGAAAGTCCTTGGCGGACCTAGGCGCTAGCATAAATGTCATGCCCTATAAATTGTTTAAGAAGCTAGACCTAGGTGAACCTAGAGCTACTAGGATGAGCATTCAGTTAGCTGATCGTTCTATCGTGCATCCTAGGGGTATCATCGAGTACTTGCTTGTTAATGTAGGTGCATTCACATATCCTGTTG